AAAAATGCCACATCATTTATGAACAAAACCGAAACTTACAAAAAACCATATATAAAAACCTATCTAATGAAACTTAAACAACGAATATTAACTTAATTAAGGTTATTTTCATATTGATAAATCGTTTAATACAAATATAAATACTATAAATATAGAATTATATCAAATTTTGACATACGATATAAAAACATGAAATTTTCCATTTCATTATTAATTGATGTCATTAGAAGAATCCACTAAACCAACAATCGAAAAAAATACATGCAAACATAATGATCCCGGCCCCGCGCTTGCGCGGGGAATATGCAACTAGTTTATCTAATAATTAACTATAAATCATAAAAAAGATAAAGTGAGCAAATCATGAAGCACCACATAAGTATGAAACCAACTAACATTTTTTCTACTAAAACCTGTGTCATTTATTTCTTAGGTTTTTCCTTTTGACTTTTTCAACTCTTAATACTCGCTTCGTTCTTTAAAGATTCATATTCTAGAAAAAAAAATTTGTTTCTAAAAAATCTATTTTTTTTACATTTTTAATGCATATTTTATTAACTAATTGTAAACTTCAAAAAATGTAGTTGCACTAAATAATTATTTATTGATATAAAATTATAGAATGAAGATAAATACACAAAACTATGTAAATTTATTGTGTTTTATTAAAAAATATGAAAAACTAGAATATAGATATTTTAGAAACTGAGGAAGTATTTTTTAATGTTTAGATATTCAGTGAGATATTTAGATAATGTCTAATATATTAAGACAGCTTATATAATTAAAATTTAATGATAAATTTATTTATCAATTAAGGTCATCATTAGTGGGAAAGACTCCCAATAGATTATTTTAATGATGTTTATATTAGGGGTGGGCGGATCGGATATCCAGATTTTGTAAGGTATTTGTGATTTGCTTCGAGTGTTATGGATATCTAATTTTGGTATTTTCTTTGCTTCGGAAAAATACGGATATCCGGAAAAACGGATATCCAAAAAATAAATAAATATTTACGGATATCTAATCTATTTTGATTAATAAAAATAATCTTGAAAGTTTTATATAAATTTTCTGTGCAAAATATTTTTTTTTATGATATATAAAATAAAAATTAAAAGAACTAGTGAATTTACATATTTTGTAATTTTTGAAGTTTAAGTTGCAATAATAATAACACAAAAGTTAAAAACAAAAATATAATTGTCATAATTTTTTTTTCTTTTTTTATGTAATACATTTATATAAGTAATAATGTGAATAAAATTGTTCAAAACCATGTGTTAGAATGATAATTATATAATTTTATACATTTATAATTTTAAATATAATCAATATATACATATATTTATATAATCCGGATCGGATATCCACTTCCCAATATTTTAATATTTGTGATTTGCTTCGATTTTAAAGGATATTGATTTTTAGTATTTCCTTTGATTTGAAAGTTTACGGATATCTAAAATTTTCAGATCGAATCGAAATGAATAACGAATCGAGTCAAATTTAACGGATAAATTCCTCGGCCCTAGTATATATATCAACCACTAATAAATGACACGTGCTAAATTATTTTTTCTATACTTGTCAAAGTCCTTTTAGGAACAGTCCCTTCTATGTCTCTTTCTTCTTTGAGTAAATTAGGTAAAAATACCAAAAGAAGTAGAAAATTAGGGATTTGCCATAAGGATAGGGGAAAAAAGTAGTGATGAGGGGATGAGAGATAAGGGTGATTTAGGGTAGTTAGTGAATTAGGGGAAAATTGGTGTGTAGGGGATGCAAATACTCTTCTTCTTTTTGTTCAATTTTTAAATTTATCTTTCTTTTTATATTAATTTCACACCGTGTCTTCAATTTTTTTTTTAAGGAGAGACTTGTGAAAGTTTTTCAACTTTTTATGTTTCTCTAACATATTATTTATTATTATTTTGTAATTTTTTATGAAAAAGCTACCAATCACACAAATCTTTTTTAAACCTTAAAATTTAATAACTCATATGAGTTATTTGAAAATATTAGTATAGTAATGCTATATATATATATATATATATATATATATCACTAAATAAAAGCCAAATTTTATTAAATTCACAGGGTCCTCAAACTAATAAAAGCCAAATTTTATTAAATTCACACGGTCCTCAAACTAAAAGAAGCCAAATTTTATTAAATTCTTACTCAGTTGTCTATTACCTATAGAATCTCATAATTGACTTTACTTAGAAGCATCCGCAGGTAAACGAGAAAGTAGTTTCAAACACAATCTGAAATACTCACACAATGATCATATTTCTCCTGTTTTTACAGTTTGAGGAACTCTAAGTGAGAACAAGGTTTTTCATTTCTCAAGCAAATTTTTTATTTGAGCACAATTAAATTTAAACGTTCACTGTAAAAACTTATAAAATGTTTGCTCTGAGAGTGCTTTTCATTTTTATAAGCTACACATCTGGCTCATATAAGGGATAATTCGGATTGATTTGCAGAATTGTCATGACTCTGTGATTTTATTGATGACAAAAAAAGGGACAACTCCGATTTAACAGACTTAATTTGACATACCTAACCCTTACTAAATTAGTTGATGCATGCTTGCATGCAGTGTGGTGGACAGGAGAATGCAAACGATCTCGTGAGACAGCCCTTCTACAAGTTCCTCCAGCGAACCATACTTTTGCATGAGATGGCTTTTGCCCTTCTACTCTATTTTTTCGGACGCGTACCCTTCATCGTCTGGGGAATTGTAAGGACACCTCTTTCTAGTATCGGGATTTAAGCTATATATCGTTATATTATAGTACATAATGATGTAATAGTTTGATTTAGACTGATAGGAGTCGGGCAAGTAATTAGCGATGAGTTTTTATGGATCGATACATGTTGCAAAATGAAATCATGTTAGGACAACTTCAATCACAATACCAAATTTGGTGTTGAAATAACCTATCATGAAAGAAAATGTTATTTTGTCGTTAAACGTGAAATAATAAGAGAATTTGTAACATCAGGGTGTGACAAATGTGGTTAGATACCACGGGACTTTTATGGTGAACTCAGTGTGTCATATATGGGGAACACGAGCTTGGAACACAGCTGACTTCTCCAAAAATAACTGGTAATACTGTCTATATGTACATATATATATAATCTCATTAAATTCTTTTTTGTGCACGAATTCTCTGCTACTAATCTCATTAAATACTCAATTAACATGCTAATAAAAACAATAATTAATAAATTGGGGATTGGATTACTCAGGTGGGTAGCGGCCATAACTTTTGGTGAAGGATGGCATAACAATCATCATGCGTTCGAGTTCTCTGCTAGGCATGGACTCGAATGGTGGCAGCTAGATGTTACTTGGTATCTCATTCAGTTTCTTGAAGCTGTTGGTTTGGCCACAAACGTTAAGTTACCTTCTGAAGCTCAAAAGAAGACGATGGCTTCTATCTAGTTGTATTACAAAATATACTAGGTTAGAAAGGGTAAAGATATCCTAGTATGTATATTTTGTAATAAATAATCTTTCTCTGTTTCTTTTACTTGCTCTTGGATTCCTAGGAATCAAAACTTTGCTACCGACTCTTTGTCAAAGGAAGCTCTTCGTATGGTTGAGGCTGTTAATGCCCCCACCTAACTTTGTTATTTGATTTTAATGAAAGTTGTGTTCAAAAAAAAAAAAAAATACATACTAGGTTAATACCCGTACGTGCCTTGCGCAACGTAAGACGGTTCTTACATTATAAATGTTACATATCACTACATGAAATATTTACATAATCTCTTTTATTAAAATAGAATCATTCAGTTGAACCCAACTCTTTTGTAAGATTTTAAATTAAACTAGGTGATAACCGGCGCATATGCGTGGAGTGAAATTTATATATTAATAATCATTGACTACTAATTTTGATCGTTTAACCATCATGTCATAACTTTGACCGTCAATAAAAGGTTGATGAATAGGATAATTTTGTTGATATTTTTGATTTTTTAAAACTTATTTACATTGGGCTTCAATACTATCATGCGGATGTTATAATTCACCATCTCACTTTGATATGAAAAGTTATATTTTTGAAAAAATAAATAACTTTTGAAAGTCGCGCTTGCGCGGAATGAACATTAATTATGTATACAAATCATTTATACATATTATTATCTATTTTATGTTCATTTCTGTATTATGCAGTAAAGGTATATTGAATAATTGACAATTGATTAACTATTACGTATATAGTTAAACTAGAGTAAACATATATATATAAAAATCATCCCTCTTTGTATTTAAAATATTGTTTTGTTGGTAAAAAATCAAAATATTTAATTATTTATTTTATATGGTATATAATTAAACTTAAATTATATTAACAAAATTATATAATATATTACTATGCATATTTATTAATTGAAATTTGTACTCATATGATTTAACTAACATTTTTATATTTTCTGTAGCAAATATTATTTTTATTTTTGAATATTTAACAACTGATGCTTCCTACTCAAAGCAAATTTTGAAATCAACATGTTTATGTATTATATATATATATTTATTTATTTATTTATTTACTCTGAATATATTAAAGAGATTTCATATTTATATGATTTTATGGTCATTTGTATTTTTTATAACAAAAAGTTAAATCATTGATCACAAAAAATTTCAGTGTTGACTTTTAACAAATTTAGTAATTTATAATAGTTTAAAAAATTCAAAATATAGCATATAAGAAAAAATCTAAAATTTTAATTATATTATTAATATGATTGTTTAATTTATTTTAAGAATATAAAATTAAAAAAAAATGATGGAAGATAGAATTTTTTTATTAAATCTTTATTATTCAAAAGCATTAATTGTCATATCTTTGTTAACCATATAAGACAATTCCATAACTTTTATTTAAGGAAATAATTGATTATATTCTTTGATACACTACCAATTAATTGCATAGTTAGTTGAATAAAAATATACTATGTATTGAGAAAGAACAACTTATTTTTCTAAGGATTCTAAGAATCAACATAGTGATGACACGTGACTACGAAAATATGTTGTAATGCTCTAGGATTAATATATGAGGGATACACTCATTTATTGTAAAGTAATTATAGAAACAATATTATACTACTATCCAAACAATATATAAAACACTAGGGCTGTAACTGGTAACCATTAAAAGAATATAAAGAATTAAAAAAAAAAAAAAAATGAATTAAAACAAGAGGAAAATCTATTCCTCTCCTAATTTGATAAGGAATAATTATAATCTATAATTCCTTAAATGTAAAGGAATATTAAGGAACCATAAGGAACAAAATTACTTGTAAATGGTGAAAATTGTAATAAATGATAAGAAATCAACTATTCCCACTTATTCTCTTGGTCACCATTTAGAGTCTAGGTCTTATCTTTTAAACTACAAGTTTCAATTTTTTCATTCAAATGATTTGATATCTAATAATTAACTAAAATCTTCATACAATTAATGAAACAAATGCAGATATTTTATTAAAAATTTATAACGAAAAGAGTTGAAATAATTAAAAATTACACAATATATTATATATATATATATATATATATATATATATATATATATTATCTGAAACACACAATGAAAATAACTACATTATACAATAAATATAATAAAAATAGTTATGAAAATATTCCAAATATATAGTATCTGAAGATAAATACTTAACAATAATTATTAAAAAAAATGAAGGTATTTGTAATATGAACACAGAAAACTATAATAATGATAAATTACGACCTTACTTGAACATGATTTGGTCTATAGGTTCGTACCTTTGTATTCCTGATCACTAAAGAGACAGACCCACACACCTGGTTGATGAATCATGATCGTGTGACTGAGTGTGATTAACGGCTATTTTTGTCCTTGGACACTATCTGGTTAGGTCTGACATCTCTAGGGTTGTCGCACTGTCGGACAGGCTTCTCCTTTATAGTTTCACAGAAAGAGCACATACACCTATATACCTAGATCAGTATAAGTATGTAAATGCTTGATAGGTATCCATGGAGTACAATGTTTGTTACATACACCTATATACCTAGATCAGTATAAGTATGTAAGGAGAACGGTTGCAAGACTTGCTTCATCCTTTGGGTAACAGGCAATGTAATTTTTGCCTTTTCAGTTCAAGTTATGTTTTTTACACACGTCAATAGTGAAACAACAGTTTGTTTCTTCAGATGTTATTCGTGATTATAGGGAGGAAACTATTCCAATTTAATTCCTAACATATGGGAAATCATCGTTGTGCAGCATATTGTTACTAAAGAGCTTAGGAAAATGTGCTGATACTAAGAAAATGTCATAGTTAGTATGAAGATATTTCTCGTGGTTAAGAAACTTTTTTTTGTAAATGATGGTTTTTGTTGATGCTGATATTAATATCTCAGTCATAGTTTGTATGTCAACCGATGTGAATAGTCATATGGCTATTACACACACCAAACTATCTCCAAATAGGGAGTGGTTTTACTGTTACGAGCAGTTTATTGACATTTGTTCAAAAATTGTTAATATCACTTTAGCGGACACAAGGTTTTTGTTATTTTTGGCATGAGAACCATCTATTCTCCACCTTCCATTCAAACACATAATGTAATACAATATCAATGATATTATTGAATAGTGATATCAATGGCAATTACTGTATTTTCCCTAGTAAATGAAGGGCTGTTAAGATTGGAAGCTGAGGAGGACTGTGGTGATGTTATGTCAATCAAAATGGCAAACTTATGAGTGGTCTACTAAAGTAAGGTTACTGTTTAAAAACAATTCCTTTAATATATAAGGGATGTTAATAAACAAAATAGTCAAGTCATCGGCAGTTATAATAGTAGTTAGAATTGGATATATTATCCGTTAAATTTAATCTGATATGTTCCTTGTTTCGATTCAATCTGAAAAATTCGGATATCCATAAAGCTTTGAATCAAATAAATGAGCAAAATATGATATCCTTACAAAAATAAAACAAATCACAAATATTATTTCTTAGAAAACCAGATATTCGACCAGTATATTTATAGATATGTAATGTAATTGTATAAACTAACCATTATATATGTACATATTTAACGAATGAATTGGTTAACTTTGTTTTTAAGTTATTTTTTTTTTTAAAACATATGTTTTGGGTTATATCATTTCTAACTTAATTTTATGTTAAGTTAAATGTTAACAGATGAGTTTTCTTATCAGATTTGTTAATATTGATTTTTTTGTTTTGTTTTGGCTTTCATTGTCGGTTAAATATATATGTTTGTTAGTATGATATTATTATTTTATTTTAAATTGATATTATAAATTTTTTATTTAATTTAAATGTTATATATTGTTTTAAAATTTATTGACAGGTCGAATCAAGTAATTTATGAATATTTAAAAGAATTCCAAATATCTGGATTTTTGGATATACAAAAATTTTCAAATTGAAACCAACCACAAATAGAAATATCGTTTGGGACCGAGCGGATCACGAATACTGTGAATTTTCCAAATATCTGCTTCGTGCCCCTGCTTCGGAGTAGTGTGATTAGATACTATACGAGTATCTTAAATCAAAATATTAATATTTAGTTATATATATTATATTAGGGTAAACCGTCCTACGGGCGGGTAAATAATTTAAGTTATCAGAATAAATATTTGATATTGGTTTTTATTATATAAAAATATACACATTAGTTAAGTTATGTATGTTATTGTATTTGAAGACCCAAAAAAAACAAATACTACTTTTTATTATTTTAAATATAATTATTTTTTTAAAAGGTTAAACAACTTTTTTTAGTAATTTCTTTTTTAATTATAAATTAATAATTTGATGTGGTTTTACATCAATTCTTGTGATTTTATGGGGTTGGATGACCAAAAAACAAACAGTGAGATTCTTATATTTTTATTTTATATAAGTTTATATGTTGTAATGGATTATGTTATATTTTTCATTAAATCTAGTTTTCTGGTAGCTTTGTGTTATAATTCTGTTAAAATTAAAAGGGTTAACGATTTATTTCCCCACGAGAACTAATATATAGCATCAGATATCCACCAAACTATGACCTCATGTCAGATCTCCATAAATCGAAGGTTACAGACTTATTTCTCCCTGAATCGATAGTTCTAAACTTAATTCTCCATACACTCTGATTTTTATTGGTTTATCGTTAACCATATAATTTACACCAAATAAACAATTCAATAATCCATTTTTTCAGCAAAAAAGAAAATTCTAATACACTATTCAATCTCCACACTATCATTATCATCAAAGAAATTTTGAAAATTTTCATATTTTGAGAGACTTTAGAAACTTATTTTTGGATAAAATTGAATTTTTGTTTGGTTTTAAAGTTGTTTGGTTAACAATAAACCGGTTAAACCATTTTTATGTGTAATTAACTTCTAAATTATTAGTTTGAGGAGAAATAGATTTTGAACTATCGATTCAGGGTGAAATAAGTTTATAACTTATAATTCAGGGAGATATGACACGAGGTGATAGTTCTATGGATATCTGATGGTATATGATAGTTTTTGTGGGGAAATAACACGTTTGTAACAGGAGGTAATATTTACATAAAGTAACAGGAGGTAATATGAGGTGAATGGAATCTAATTTGATAGAT